ATTTGTATCACTGGCACTCTATCCATTCTTGGTGGAATTACTGATCTCGTCAAGTCATTGTTATGTGTCAAAGGAAAATATAATATGAGATAGTCATGAATAAATTATTACATATATGACATAGATTTAAAAAAGGAAATGTTTAAAAACATAAATAGATTTCGCAGGATTACGAGTCTTTGCATTTAAACGCAAAAGTAGACAAATAAAATGGGAAAAAAAGTGCGCCGCTATTTAGACGGCAATTGTGAAGCGAACTTCCATTTAAGCTCGACGTTTACAGCAAAAACGGAAACTCTGCTTTCGCCCGCGCCGCTTTTCTACTGATCAATCATTAAATCGACATTGAAGAATAATAATGAATAATCCTTCTCTCTCACAGCTTGTGCACTCCTTCACTTTAGTGTAATAATTTGAGGTAATAGTTTGGATTTTAATTCTGCTGTATTCCAGTTGCTGTGATCATTTCAGCCTCTTTAATAACTTTCATTTTGGACGCAGTGTTAGAGATTATTTTAGAGACGTACAAGGTTTATTTAAAATGATATTAAAACACTTCGAAATAATTATCCTTCCCAAACGTTTCATTAACAACTTACAAAGCTATGTAAATTAGTCCGGTTTTATGGCGTTTGGAGCGGGAAGTTTGTCGTAGAAGGCGAAATTTAAATTTCACATTTTGAACAGAACTGCCAACTAAAAAATAATGGTAGTGTTGACAGTAATGATAATTTTCATTGTTATTATAATCATTATTATTCTTGCAATAATAAGTCAAGGGTAGCCTTTACGTTTGTTCCTATGAAATGGGCTACAAGCAAAGTTCCAGAACAAATGGATTAAACAGGATCGAAGCGTGCATGAATATGGCGTATCTTTGTTTTGAAAGCCTCGGGTATGTTTTTAACCTGTGGCAGTTTCCATATTTGGTCAAATCACCTGCAGTCATTCTTATGCTTTTTTGGTTTTTAAAGAACGTACACAATAGTTTGAGCGTGAATTGAAAACAAAACTTTCTTTGAAAAAAAAAAATCGAATGGCCATTGACAATTCACAACCTTACATTGGAGCCCAGAGCTTTCGCGAACTCCTCACATCCACTTGATGTTTTTTGTTAGCACCTGAATCTGTTTCTTTTTCAAACAGGAGGAATATTAATTGGTTATTTACCCCTTTTCCTCGAATTTATTCGATTATCGAACTCTCAAATGCCTTGGCACGAAAACAAATATGTGACAAACATCATTGACCGCCGCTGAAAAACAACAGATAATAATACGTTCCTGAACGATTCAGATGCCCACTCATTCAGGCTGGCAGTGATACGTCCGCATCAGAGAAAAGAGAAATTTCTTTTTTCTCTATTGACGGAGAAGAATCATAAGGAAGAGCATTTCATTTACATTTGTTAAAGACAGCCAGGATAGGTTGAGATCTAGCAAACAGTGTTTTGCTGCATGTGGCGCTTACACCTGGAGTTGTCAATGAGGAAACTCTGCTCGTGGCTATTTTATTCAAAGAGTGTGTCTATTATCGTTAGCTAAAAGACTCCTCCGCTCGCTGTTCTTTGGAGATTAGGCGTACTGGCGAACCTCATCATGTTGTGATTTCTGAAAGTGAAGGTTGGTCGACTTGATGTTATACCTAAAACGATTTTAGATGTTAAAGCATTGTTTTTAGGAGAGATAAATTTTACGAACGTAAATATTGTACGAGACTTGAGAGAGTAAAGGATATGACAGAAAAAACGAATTATCAGACGAACGACATAAAAATAACAATAAAGAGAAGTAGCTTATCGACGTTGATATAGGAAAAATTTAAGAGCTGTGAGTTCAACATATCAACGTTATTGGTGCGAAAGCGAAGCGCCGAACGACGCTGCAATAACATGATTTTTGAGCTGTGTTCGATGCTGAAAGACAACGGACCGACGCGATGCGAAATGCAACCAAACGCTTGTAGTGCTGAACTACGACAACAGAGTCTGTAGCTTACTTTCGATTCATTTAGTTGTAACCATGAACGAAGTTTGCGACATTTGTTTTACAATACTGTTTTAATTAATACTTAGCGTCACTGAAAACTCGCTCGCTCCGCCGATATTCACGATCACAGTGCATTTTAAGTAAAAACGTACATGTGCTCTGCCCTTAGTTTTCAAAAAAGGGAAAATTTCCGCTTATAGTGATTTTTACACTCCCTACCAACATGTATTTTAAAGGAAAGTTTTAAATTCGTTCCTGACCTTTCATATCTGATCGAACCATGATTTCCTCTCTGCGGCAATGTTTTTATTATCCAAATCTATCTTGAAAGCGGAAATTCAAAACCCGTATGTAGCCTGGAGAAAAACAAATGATTACAGTAAAATTTAGCGATAATATCTCGGTCAAATGTATCCTATCATCGGTAAAATAACATGCCTGCGGAACTTGTGAGCGGAATCAACAATGGGCAATTCCCGGCAAACGCTATATTCAGTTGTAATAACTGGTTTTTGGAACATACTTTCTCGGCGTAATTTACATATCGTCGCTAAGGAGCGAATTTTACCCTGATAGAAATATTGCATTCATTTTAACTACTATAGAGGTATCTCCTCCTCTTTGAGTCATGTATCGTCGAGATTTAATCTTTATCCTCCAAAAACTAACATTAAATGTAGATCTGCATGTAGCGAAGTTCATAAATTTTCACGAATGAACGGCGAAATATTTTCTGGATCTAACCAACTCATTTGTCTTCAGAACGTGTTTTCTACTCTCTTGCGTCTAGCTAGAGATTTTGAGTAACATCTTTTATTCAACCTTCTCAAGCGTTCAATCATTTTCTCTCTAAATAGATGGATACAGAACGAACTGAAAAGTAAGACATCTTGGTTACTCGCGTTATGAGAAATACACATTTCTTACCGCTCTGAACGATTTGTAACAAATATTCACCTTCATTTTAGGCCTCTATGATCCATATTCGATTCTATAACCAGATTTCTCAGGAAAGTAGGGCATTGTAAATGCCAATATTGTGACCAATTCAGGAGTACATATGACTTTAAGCGTATTAGAAGATAAAGATTGAATTTGTTCTCCGCAAACATAGCATTGCTGAAAAAGCAAACACAGATAATACCATTACAATAGTGACGAACACGCAGCAGGCTTTTTCATTATTAGGAATAGAAGAAAAGAGAAAAAAAATCAAACTCATTGATAAACACACTACGCCAGAACTGGAGGTTTGGCGAGCTTGCCTAACTTAGCTCAGTAGACCGGATAGAAAAGAATCGTCATCAATACTAGAGTATAACATATGACAGAAAAATTGTCCGTTGTCAGCTTATTTTTCACATTTTCATCCAGCTGGTACGGAGCAATTTTACTGAGTAGTGCGTGACTGCATCAGTTTTGCGTTGCTCCATTCACTGTTTTTTCTTAAATCACTGCCTGTTGTAGTTAAGAGTGCTTGATCAGGTTGCTAAGTCGTTTTCAAAATGGCGGCGTCCATAGACGAATTCAGTATTAAATTTGATAACAGTTTTTAAAAGTTTTGATCAATCTTTAGAATCTTAAAAAGCGGTCTTGGGCATGGTTTTTTTTATTAACTTTTAAAAGTACAGATTGCCTGTGATTAGGCCTTATTATCAGCATTGCGAATGGGAGTTTCTAGTCCGCGAGTACTTTCAGGTTTGACGCCTTGAGCGAAGCGACCCTGCAAGAGCTCTACGAGGAATCTGGCACAAATTATCAGTGCCAGACTTCTCGCACACTAGCATTGCTCAAAGTTGAAAAATAATTCGCACGCGAACTGATCAGCGCGATTCTATTGATCTGAGCTTTCCGTGTCTTCCAAACTTCCGATTGACTTAATTGTACTAACTCGGTGTATGATTAGTGAACGGCAGAGCGAAAACAGCGGGAGACTTTGGTCTGATTGTGTATAAGAGGGAAATTTGGGCCTAATCGCGTTACCCAGGCCTCCTCCCTTTTCGTGACACAACCTAAGCCTCACTCTTTATCCGCTCTGCTGCTTGTATCGCGTAGTTTCCTATTCCGCTCTATTTTACCACTGAAAGCCAAGGACAGGCTAAGGGTTTGAGGCTCGATTCCACATGTGTACTCTTAATTTTATCTTGGTCCCATGCTCTCAATAAGACGAAACAAACATTTTTGCGTATGATCTCTTGTTTGCATCTAATGACTTTTCTCTCTCCCCAGCATTGGCATGGACAATAAAACTACTTCTTTGCCGACAACGGCGGCGCAAGGTGACAAAATTAATTATCTTACTGACTCGAAACACTTTCCTCATACTATAATGAGCAGAGGGCTTTATCATCTTATTAAAACATTTGGACATACAGTCTGATTGGCTCCGCTGCTCGCTATCTATTCCGTAAGAGGCAGTTGGTAAAGCGAATTGTCCAACAATGTGTGGTTATAAATCAAATGAGAGAAAAACAAGAGACTGTCTTTTGTTACGTTGTAAAATACTAGTATGTGTACAACGTTTAGACAATTTGACAATCCGCTATACGTGATAGTTCATTTTGCCAACTACCACGCGATAGAAATATCGAGTTCACAATCTGTTTGCTAATATCTTTCAGTGAAATAGAGCATTCTTATAAAGGTATTAGATTTAACTATCAGTCTACATATGAATGCAGTTATACTTATAATGGTGTTTTTTCAGAAAGTTCGCTAAAAGAACCGAAAATAATTCTCTATTCACTCCTTCAAAAACACGCCACTTTCGTTACCCTGAATGCATATGAAATCCTGTTACATATTTTCTTGGTTATGTTTTTTTGTAAGTTTTTTGTAAATACCAAAACAGCAATCCTTGCACGACTAGAGAGCTTCCAACATATACTGCTGCGTAATCTTTATCTTTGATTTCAGCCGCTTTCAAAACCGTTCCGACTATACCCTGCTGAACAACCGTGATAACTTTGAAGTTTAGGACACAAATCATTTCTTTTTCAAATTAATGTTTAATTCCTTTTAGAGAAAGAAATTCCCTTTTGGATGGTAGTTGTATGGTGTGTGGCTGGTTTCCTCGCAGTTACTATGATCATAGTGGGTATTTACTATAGCTACTTTGTTTGCTGCCAAACTCGGAAGAAGCGTAAAAATAAAAGGTATGAAGATCAAGGCAACCTGTATGTACTAAAGCTTTGATCAAATGTGGGGAAATCACAAAAACGTTTTTCCAAAATCACAACATGTTGAGCGTTGCACCATTGATAAAAGGTTCCAATTTCGTTTTCGAATTCCTTTTAGAATTAATTTCATTCAAAACTGCACCATCAAAACACAATTATTAAAAAGGGAAGGCTATCAAATTAGAATCTTTTTTCTCTTTTCTAAAGCTTTCGGATCTGTTATAAGATTTAAAAAGATATTGCATGTAATATTAATTTCTTTGTTAAAAAAAAACCTGTGATATTTAAAACGGAGTCTGGCTATTAAATTCAAGATAATTTTCCAAATTAATACCTGTTAACCTACTTGACAGGAGGAAGAGGCGGAAAGAGAGCATGTAATGGCTCATATAACTTATACAACTTTAAGTACACTGTAGTTAAAAAAAAAAAGAAAAAGACAGCGTGAAGTAGCAGCTTCTTTTTTTTCCTAATTTTATGTCTCATTTTGTAATTCCAGACCACATGCAAAGCACCAAAATTTGAGACACCCAGTGGATGTATATCCCAGAGCATTCATCGAACAACTGCATGACAGTGAAACCAACTCTAGAGCCATGTTCTCGCCGTCATTCGTGGATAATATGAGAATTCCCCGTGCAATGGAGGTTAAAATTATAGAATCGGTGAACAGTATAAACAACACTCATCCCCTTCCTCAGCTCAACTCACCATGTCTTTCACCCAAACGCAGTAACAGTAAGGAGCATTTAAGTCCAGAGATGTTTTCCCTTCCCAAGGGAAGGATGCCGCCATCGAGACAACAGTCTTTTAGATATTCGAACATGACCACTGAAGAGTCCAACGAGAGAATTTACAGAGAGAAGATGCTAGTATCTGAGTTAAGGGAGAAACTTCGTCATCAAAATATGATTGATGAGTAAGGAACCAGCGAATGTTAAACGAGGCGATGACAATCGCAGCACGATTACAATCCATGGACGAGAGAAATTAAAGAGAGAGGCTACTGTATTTGGGTGGAGGAAGTAGCGATGTAATTCAAAAGAGAACACGGAGGATGACCCGATGAGCAATCCAAGATAAGTAATGCAATGAAACAAGAGCGACTTGCGGGAAAGAGATCAACACCTTGGGTTTAGGTCAAACGAAACCATCAGTCAAGGACAAAGCTATGAATTTCTAATATGAGGGTCGTATGAGATTTAAGGGATCGAAAAAACAAACAATTATTTAAAAAATGAAGGATAAACATAGGTAACTATATCGTATCGACATTGAGAGGACTGATGGGTCAATAGCCGTCATTTGCCACCGGCATGCGAATGACGTGCGAAACTAGCCTCCGATGCCGAAAATCTAGAAACCGGGTAAAGTATGAACTCCGAAGCTGCCTTAAAGGAAAAGACTTGATTATCCTTATTAGTCAAAGACGTTGTTAAAAACAAGTGAATGTAACTATAGTGAGACTCGAATTACTACCTTCCAAAGTAGGCAAGGACTTAAGCGCTACTAGAGACAGAAACAAATGCTCGAGAGAAATGCAGTTCCATTGTTTTGACGTTTTCTTAGGCTTCGCCACCTGAAATCTCAAAATGCCCAGTGTCTTTTATGAAGCTCCCCAAGGGAGATGAAAATAGAGGCTGGTAAGGAGTCTCCTTATGCCCAACATATCATTAACAAGGAGATTCTCCTCAATAAATACCATACTTACTAAACACAGTAAACAAATGTGGTTCATCACCAACAGCCAATAAAAACAACCAGAAATAGAGGAGCAGTATCATTTGCTACTGCAGAGCATTTTTCTACAATGTAGCTTGGAAATGTCTTAAAATAACGACAAGGAGTGATGGGAAATCAATGACATCAATATACATTCCTTTCAAAAGTCGATTTTTCAGTATTTCATTCTTCAACTTATTACCCTGTGGTTATATGTTTACCTAAGACAATTTATGGAAAATGGGTATCTTACTGTGACGCACTGTAGACAAAAAGTATTTTGTCACACGGCGGCCATGTTTGAGCCGGCACTACGGAAATATTCTCTGTCCTTGCTCGTCTCGTCTGAAGGAAAAGACGCCTTTAGAAGTACCTTAGTCAAAGATTTTTATATCAGGAGACTCAAAGTGACTCCATCGGATAGCAAAACTTCACGAGCGTCTACAAGTTTTCGTCCTATTGATGTCCGCTTTATTTTAAGCCCGGATTCTGAGAAAAGTTTAACAAATAATTGAAAAAACAAAACCTCTAATTGCCCTTGGCTGAATCGTGTTAAGTCTGAGTAAAATCCTACATAACTTGATAAATGTAAAAGTAGCATTTCCTTATATCGGTTTTGCTGTGATAGTCTTCCTCACTCTTGGACACTAGTTTCCAGACTTTCTCCCGACACAGCTGATCCATTTTTGCTTCGTACCCATATTCTTGTTCAAACATCACATCCTCTCTTATTGTGAAGCTGACCAATCCGCCTGGCCTGACAACTCGTGCCATTTCATCCATGGCGCCTTCCGCCTTCACGTGGTTTAGAGTAAACACGCCAACGGCAAAAGCGACGTCATAGCAGTCGTCGTCCAACTGTATCCGTTGATTAGGACCCAGGACATCAACAAAGAAATTCTTGTAGATTCCTTTCTTTTCGGCTTCTTTGAGAAGGGCGTCTGACGCATCTAAGGCATCAACGTTGGTAAACTGCCTTTTACAAAGCTCCACTCCGACCAGCCCGGTCCCCGCACCAACGTCAAGGATTCTGCAATCTTCCGGAAACTCAAGCTGTTTTAGAGTTGTTACCAACCTTTCTGTCGCGGTTTCGTGTCCGATGTACCCTCTGTGAACTTTAACATCCTGTGCATTCAAAAAGTAATATTCAACAATTACGCTTCGAGGTGGGGTGGATGGAGGTGGATATTTACCGTACCGCGATGTGACAAGGCAAATATCCACCACTTTCACCGAGGAGGTTAATGCTTGTTTTAGCATATACCACGTGTAAGAAAAAAAAATTCTCTGCCAATATACCGAACAATGGTCGGAAATTAATCTCTTGACGCTCTTCCGCAGTTCAGAGGTGTATAATACTTGGCCAATCACTATTCACCTGTGTGGTATATACTAAAAGATATCTGGTGACAGTACATCTAATGACATAGTGCGCGCACAAAGCCTACCTATTTCTTAGGAGCAACCATCGTAAAAATCTTTATGTATTGCACGGCCATGCATTCATCACATCGGCTGCAAGTTCTCGTTGAGTTTAGCCGCAAGGTTTCAAAACTTTTGAGATCTTCTCCCACTTTGTCCCGATTGAGATGGGCCTTTCAGACTCAAGAGACTACAGATTCTGACTACACTCAGGCGAGATATTCAATGTGAAAGTTTATGTAGGATGAGTCAGCCAGTCTTGTAGTCTACACATCCTACTACAATCTGCAATGTACTGCAAGTATTCACTGAAACTGAAGGGTTATAAAAAAATAGGTTGTGCTACGCCAGATACGAAAGACCACTAAAGAACCACTCTTTAGAAATGGCCAAAAAATATGTGGAAACGTATTCCTCATCTAATGCAGCAGCATTATACCCCGAGGAAAGGGTAACTAAAATAAACCTAGTTACACTACTAGTCACACAGAAAATTTCACAGAGAGGTGTAAAACAAATTACATTAAATAAAAAAAATAAAGAAAAAAGAAAGTGATCAAACGTAAGAGTGACCGACGTAGAATGACTTAATTTTCCCCGCGAAACACTTAAATAATCCGTAAATAACTACCGTGTTGCCATGCGAACCTCTTCAACGTGCGTCAGAATATTAATTTCTGACTAATTCGTTCTCATGTCACTCAAACGTCAGAAATTGCAACTCTTACTCTTCTCTCGTCCTGCGCTCATCCTTAACTCGATATACGCACGCTAAGCATGGACCAATTCTTTGTTACACCAAGAAAAAGAAATAAAAAAGGAGAGAGCATTACGTAAAGTTACAATTATAGGCCACCCAGGGCTGTCACGCGGGGACAGAGGCATATGGTTTTAGACACTTGATCAGATCTGCTCCGCTTCATCCTCACCTCCCCGCACTCCACCCAACTCAACAGTCGAGGTGAAAAGTAAGAAACGAAAATCCCTTCAAGCGCCTGTTGAGGTGACGACCAACAACCGGCCGAAGAGAAAGAGGTAAAAGACGAGTTTCGTTGATGAAAGGTATGGATTTGAACTCAACACTTTCCAACAACCACGCTCCTTTTATAAAACGGCGGGTTGAAAATATGCGACTTATCTTCGCTTTCACGTTGTCTTTGTATGTTGTCATGACCTTCACTTCAAAAACGCTATTAATTAATAATTTGTTACAGCAAATGAATTATGGAAGGATTTTGACAGAAATCGTTCGAGGTAACCGTTATCGATTCTTTTCTGTCGCCTTATGCATGATAGTCAGGTTTTCTTCTTTATATCATAACGAAATACCACCAGTAATCAAGCAATATATACATTTTTTTAATGTCCAAAACGGCTATGACTCAGAAATAAGTCTTTTTTCTATTCCCTGGAATATATTTAAGGACATTATTTTTAAAAAAATCAAGCGCATGCACAAATAAACAGAAGCACTAAAGCTAAATCAAACGCTAGCGGAGTTGTTAAACGCACTATATGCATTGAGCGCGTGCAATTATGAAACTAGAGGCTAAAAACTGCTCATCGTAAGTAATTATAAAGGTTGGAATAAATTCGCCTTTATCGCCAAATGAATGTCTGAGAATCAGGGCAGCAGCCGATTGAAAATAATATTGTCTGATTTCGTTTACCTCATCGTACTCTGAAGCAGCTTTCTCATAGCAAGCCATCAAAGCGTCATAAGCATCGTGCAAGCACAGATAAACAGAAGCACTGAAGCTAAATCATTTAGTTTTGGTGCTTCTTCAAAGGCTAGTGGAGTTGCTAAACGCACGATTTGAATTGTGCGCATGCAAGTATAAAACTAAAGGCTTAAAACTGCACAACATTAGTGAGGTTCGGAGCAAATTCGTCTTTATCGCGAAATGAACGTCTGAGGATCAGGGAAGCATCGGACTGGAAACAATATTGTCTGATTTATTTAACCTCATCGTACTTTGAAGCAGCTTTCTCATAGCTAGCTATCAGAGCGTCATAAGTTTCATGTTTGTTACAGCCATACGCCTCTTTTTCCATGTTTGATGCTAAAGCGAAGCGCACGCAAAGAAAATACGGCGTAGTTTTGCTTGCAAATAAGAAACAATGAATTGAAAAACCATTAACAGATATAGGAAGGAATTTGACAAAAACTGTTCGAGTTAACGGTTATCGATTCTTTTTCCTCGTCTTAAATGAAGGTCAGGTTTTCCTCTTTGTATCATAACGAAATGGCGCCAGTAACCAAACGTTAAATTTTTTTTTAAACGCCAAAAATGGCTCTGACTCAGTAGTAAGTCAGTTGTGTATTCGCTGGAGGTTTCACTGGAAATTAAAAAAAAAAAGCAAAACAAAACAAATACATCCACAAATAAAAAGAAGCACTAAAGCTAAATCAAACTTTAGCGGAGTTCTTAAACGCACTATATGCATTGAACGCGTGCAATTATGAAACTAGAGGCTAAAAACTGCACATCGTAAGTAATTATAAAGGTTGGAATAAATTCGCCTTTATCGCCAAATGAATGTCTGAGAATCAGGGCAGCAGCCGATTGAAAATAATATTGTCTGATTTCTTTAACCTCATCGTACTCTGAAGCAGCTTTGTCATAGCAAGCCATCAAAGCGTCATAAGTTTCATGTTTCTTGCAGCCACACGCCTCTTTTTCCATGTTTAATGCTAAAGCGAAGCGCACGCAAAGAAAATAAGGCGCAGTTTTGCTTGCGAATAAGAAATAATGAATTAAAAAACCATTAACAGATATAGGAAGGAATTTGACAAAAACCGTTCAAGTTAACGGTTATCGATTCTTTTGTCGCCTTAAATGCATGATAGTCAGGTTTTCCTCTTTATATCATAACGAAATGCCGCCAGTAATCAAGCAATATATATATATTTTTTAATGTCCAAAACGGCCATGACTCAGAAATAAGTCTTTTGTCTATTCCCTGGAGTATTTTTAGAAATTATTTTTAAAAAAATCAAGCGCAAGCACAAATAAACAGAAGCACTAAAGCTAAATCAAACGCTAGCGGAGTTGTTAAACGCACTATATGCATTGTGCGCACGCAAGTATAGAATTAAAGGCTAAAAACTGCACAACATAAGTAATCAAAAGGGTTAGAACAAATTCATCTCTATCGCGAAATGAACGTCTGAGAATCAGGGAAGCAGCCGACTGGAAAAGATACTGTCTGATTTCATTTACCTCATCGTACTCTGAAGCAGCTTTCTCATAGCAAGCCATTAAAGCGTCAAAAGTTTCGTGTTTGTTAAAGCCATACCCCTCTTTTTCCATGTTTGATGCTAGAGAGAAGCGCTCGTAAAGAAAATACGGCGTAGTTTTTCTTGCAAATAAGACAACACGCAGAATGCCTACTGTTTTCGAGACATTTACTAGAAGTAGAAAAAAAATTATAGATCCGTAATATTAGCTGCGAAACGTATTCTAGAGAGCTTTGATTGGTCAAAGATTACGCACGCATTCCTCCTCAGGGAATATTGCTTTAGCTCCTTAATTTGTCTAGGCCGAGCTAAGAAACAATAGCTTAGAAAGTTATTTTTTATGCTATTGTTAGAAGAATATCAAACACTGCGTGCGTGTGTTACAACCTGGAATAGTACTCTGTTTTGAAACCGTCCGTTATATATTCTTCTCTTTTTGTATCTTACTCAACAAACACTTTTGTTCTATCATTACCCGTTTAGGATTTGATTTTCATTGAAAAAAATCCACCCGCACAATTTTTCTACAAGTAAGTCAGAGTAAGTCACTCTGAAACGATATGAAAGGTAAACATTGAGTGAAGAGTGAACTTATGCATTAATTAGTTCTACCGCCTAGGTAGTTGCTCTCTTTCGTCACCCTTGCCAATATATCACTTGGTGTTAGTGCGATCTCCTCAGGGTTTATTGTAATTTTAACCCACGTCTCGGCTCGCACTTTCTGCCTCTGTTTACCGCTTGTAATTGAGTCCATCTTGCGCTTAAATCTCTATATGTTTTGCCGACTGTGCGACCAACGCGATCGCTCGAGGATTCATTGGTAAAATTTCCGCACAGCCCCATAATAAATTATGCATTCAGTTCTTGGATAGAGATAACAATGACGAAAACAATAGATTGCCTTTGAGAGTAGTCTTGGGCCGTGCGGAAATTTTACCGATTCATTTAGCTTGCAGCCGAGAGGCATGATGCTCGCTTGGAGTGAATAAAATACTCTACGAGGCAGCCAGTAATACACTCTCCATTTCCAGGCTGCTTCACCGCTCATTTGAATTATGTTCACTGGATTGCTTTCCTCGAGAAAAGGTGGAACTACTTGTATAAGAATAGGGTGGATCGGGGTTCTATGACCTCTGAAAAAAGCTCCCGAAACAATAAATAAAAAATCATAGGCAACATTTACATTTAAAGATTCCCTGCAGTAGTGTTACGTCATAGTATGATAATATTGAAGTATCGGGCAAATTTGAATATCCTCTCTTAAGGCCTGTTCAAACAGTTTGAACATTTGATCAACATTCATTCAAAAAAAGTTAACGGATGTTGAGCAAATTTTGAAACCGTTTAAACGGGCCATTCAACATTTTCGAGAACAAAGGAAAAGTTGAATCGATGTTAAATGAAATTTTAAACTCGATTCAACACGCTTTCAACAAGCTTTCAAGTATTTTTACGCTTTCAACAATGTTGGACGACCTGTTCAAACGACCTGTTCAAACGCACCGAACATTTAGTTCAATAAAGTGTTGAATGCATTTTGAAGCAAATGTTGAAACTGTTCAAACGGGCCTTCAGAGTATCAAAGATGTTATGAGATTAGGGTGCTTATGAATGAAAAGTTGATTATATGCATGGTCACGCAAGGAAGTGAAGGTAAGGAAGGGGAGGGAAGGTTGCTTAGCCATTTGGGAGATAAGAGTATTATGGAACGTTAGGGTCTGAGAAAACATGTAGTTCTCCATAACGAATGCACCTACTGGTTCCGTGTAACACATTTTCAAAAATCTATTCTAATTTATTGTCCAGCCCCTTCCCCTCTCCTTTCTGGCCGTCGCTTGCCCCCTTGGTGCAAATTACTTATCTCCCCAGCCTTCCGCCGTTTTGAAAATCAGAGATGGCAGTTAAAATTTTCTTCGAGATAATAGTGAGCACTCGCCTGCCAAAAGTACACCTGCTTTACATTCTATTTTGGCATCCGTTCCCCTTAATGGTTCATTTTACATTACTCCCATATTATTAAAACTGCAATGCACCGGGAAATTATGCTGAAGTGGGTTCATTGCACTGAGAGTGGAACTTTCTTCGACAATTAATCAATGCTATTCAACACTAAACCACAAAGTATTTGTGTCAGTGTTGCAGGTTGATGCATACTAATAATCTCGTAATCAGATTCTACCGTGTAACTGTTACTGAAATGTTACAACCACTTGGCTGTGGAGGAAACAGAGATTCCAAAATAACTCGAGGAGATTTTGGCCAAACAAATTTTCTTTGAAAAATGATGTCAAGAGAAAGCCGTGAAATTAATGTGAGAGCGGTTGTAAAGTTAAATGTCGAAACGAAGCAGTACAACCTTCTTAAACGAACCTTTTTGTCGAAATTGGCCCTTTCTTTTCCTGTCAAGAAGCCAACTTGCGTGACATGACCCAAACAGAACTCGAGGCCACGAATAAACAGGCAACAAAATAACAAGAATTCTTCTTCATGACAGTTCACAGTCTAAATCTTTCGAAGGAAATAACGAAAGACACTGAAAAGGATCATGGCTGTTTCCACTGAGAATTTGAGAATTATTTACACGTTTCATGTATCGGCCGTCACGCAATCAGGAAAAACCGTGACATGACGTGTGACAGTCTCATGCTTTGGTAAAGAAGAGAAAGTGGCAACGATAACACTCGCGAGGTTTACTGTGGAAAGGTGTCGATTTGAACTCGACAATTTTTAATTTCTACGTTATAAAACGGCTGAGTCGGACCATATGCGACATTCATGCTGCCATTGTTCACTGGCATGACTTTCAATTGAGGAGACTGATCGATCAATAATTTGTTACGACACTTGAAAATTGGAAGTTATTTTACAATTACTGTTCAAGTTAACCGTTATCCTCGATTATTTGTCGTTAGCCCAAGCCATGTCCCGACTTTCCTCTCTATATCAAAGCGAAAGGGCAACGGTAACTGGAAAAAATCTTTACACAAAAAACTATCATGATTCAAAACATAGGTCACTCCAGTATCTACACAGATGCATAAAGGCACATTGAATCAGGAGCTCGCGGAGTTGTTAAACATGACTCGTTGTTTCTTTACATACAGGAGTGAAATAGCAAGTGGCATTAAACTAAACTGTAAAATTTGAGTCGGAATCTATTTTTTGTCTAGGTTTATGCAAATTTGCGCTGTAATGCACGTCTGAGCATTAGTGAAGCAGCCGATTGAAAATCATTCAATATGTTAATTACTTTCTGAGTTCGCTTACCTCATCGTATTCTGACGCACCTTTTTCATAGAAATCCATCAAGGCGTCGAAACTTTCATGTTTATTGCAGCCATAACCTTTCTTTTCCATATTTGACGTTAAAGCATAACCGAAAATGGCGTAGTATTGCCCGCGTGGAAGAAACAATGCATTTGAAATTATGAATAAAATGTTATAATTAACCGATACGATTCCACGGGGTAACGGTAGGTCATATCAGGTCGCCCAGGTATAAGCAAGTCACACATGATAATATGATGATAAAAGTGAAGTATAGAGAGAATAATAGGAATTTTTCCAGAATCGATTAAACACCAATGATGTAAATGAGATTAAAGAGCTACATTGATTATCCTTGGTCACGCTAGTGAGTAACCTTTGTTTTTAAGGGGAATGGAGAGAGAGTCGGAGGGAAGCGGGGGGGGGGGGGGAGGGGAGGGTGCTTACTCATCTACGCGATGGGGTTATTATGGACTGTTATAGTCAAAAGTATGGTTTAAATTTAGGGTCAAACTCGTGCATGATTTTCAAGGAGATCACGAGAACGTATATATAGATTCATTTATAACCGGCTGACACGAGGATTGAAACTCTTAACGCCTTAGTGCATTTAACACTGCCCGAAAACAACGGATCAGAACCATAAAACTCTGGAATTATTTGATGAGTCCTTGCCGCCTCTCTAGAAATGCTACAGAATGCGCTGATCATGCTGAAATACACTTATATGCAGTAAGTGAATCAATCAATCAATCACTCGATCGATCGATCGATCGATCTACGCACTTAACACCCTGAAAATACCTGATCAGATACATCACTGTACGCAGAACTCGTTCGATTATTCCATGCCGCAACGCTTCCTGTAACATTCTTCGCATCTGCTTCAACGGCAGCGAAATGACAACTTGCTTAATAAACGATCAAATAAATGACAAAAGAAAGATGTCAATTTTGAGCGAAGACACGCTTCTTGAAAGTGGGAAGTTATTTAAGAAAAATTTCCAAAGCCGAAGTTTGGAAACATGTGCTGCGAGCTCGACTCGATGTCCGAACTTTTGGGGTTTGTTTACATCAAAAATCACGTGATACTACACGTGAAATCTAAAGCCCAAAAGTTGAATTGAATTGATCATAAATGTAGCGCATCCTGTGATGTACAAGAGCCAACAAGCGCCTCGATCTCGTTATGGTCACACTCGGGCGATGCACGTGCTCTAGTTGGGCCTATTCAAGCTCGTCGATCTAGTTTGAGCTAACTGATCTATAGTTGAACGGTTGAAAGATACTGTATACCTCTAAAAAATTTACTGGTTTCACATAAAAAGTACACAGTGGAATGAGTGAAAATTAAGTAAATTAATAAAGTAGCGAGAACAGATGTAGCTTCTGCCCATTCTCCTGTCCATAACTTAAGCCTTTTTTCATATTTCGTGTATCAAGGTGAAGGGCTTTCAACTTAGGATTTTCGCAAAAGTCACTTTTAATTATCCAACGTCCACGTAAATTAATTAAGTTTAAATAAAAATATTTTCTGATCCTTCAGACGACATTACAAAATTTTCCATTGGTGATACAGAATGCGTCTTTCCCTTTTGAGTCTTTCGTTCCTCCGCTTTACGCGTATGGTGTCCAGCCTTTTGACTTTGGATGACGACGATTGTCGTGTAGGTGGTTGAAGGTTCCCATAAAGCCAATGGAATCACCGCCACATCAGTCTAGTGAACGTAGGATAAGTCATGCATCTTTTCAGTGAAATTTCCGTGGAATCATCTATTGCCTGTGACGAATCATTGGAGGTGGATGCTGATCTTCTTAATGGCGGAGGGTACGTTCGCGCCTAACACATTCCCCTCTCTAACAATCCACGGAAGGATTTTTCGTGTTTGAATGATGCTGCAACATCAACTAGTGGCTGGACTTTCGGTGATTTTCTCATCTTCGCAAGCTCTAGGACGGCTTTACGGGCCTTGCTCTCGAGGCTTGGCCATAAAGATAATTAGAACCTGAGTACAAACCTCAAGCAACCAAGTAATTGTTGCAAGTTTTCTGAGAAGGCTCCGCGTGACTTTAGTCCTGTAGTCGATCCACTTTCGTATGGCCATGCATCTCTCCCATGACATGAAAGTTAAGTGATAAAACGAACAGAAGGTAAGATAGGAGAAAAATATTTTGCTCACTAAATCGATTGTACATAGATGCGTAAACGATGCCTGACTGAATATCAACACATCTCCAGTGGCGGAAAATGACATATTCATGGCATTCACCATGAGATCAGGGACGGCCATGCTGCATAACAAAATATTCGAGCGTTTTTGCAACTCTCGCCTTTTCTTCAAAGTGACTATAGCCAAGAAGTGTAAGAGAACTGTAACCGGTGAGGCAATGAATCAGATGACCACTAAGATCCAAGGGAAGGATGAATTGGTTAGATCCCAGATAAAGGATGGAAACTGCGGGCAAAAAAATAATTCTGCCATTCTGGTCGAGGTGGAGTTGAAATGGGATGTCGCAGAATCCGTTGCATTCATTTCCTTCTTTGCCTTTCGGTTTTCTTGGCAGAGATTTGAAAATGATCTATGAGAAAGAATCAGAAAAACAATATACACAGCACTTAATTACAGGTAAGTATGAAAGTCGAAAGTTTTCAGAAAATTACTCAAACTACATTTAATTTTCTGAATTGTAAATGCTGTAATCGTCGTCTATATCTAATCAAGTCAAAGGATTTTTTTTCCAAAGTCAAGAATGTCTTCTCTTTCTTTGGCCTTCTTGATGTGATTTTCATTACTTTTTAAATCTAATTTGATGAACTCATTTCTTGCACTTTTCGCATGGTGATTGATTCCGTTGATCCCTTAAAATATCTCTGTATCATTCGCGGTCCAAGATGCACCTTGTTTTCAAAATCAAATAAAAAATCCTTTTGTTTCAATGTTTTTATTATCCAACCGCACAAAGTAAAGTACACATAACACGTGAATAGAGTAAAAATATCCGACGATGTTGTACGGTTATTTGGACAATTGGTTATTTTGTACTTTAAAAATAACCTGTTTAACCAGTCAGCTGTGCGCGCTACGCTTCTATCAGGTTTGCTTTTCCCGCCTTATGAGAAATGAGCAGAAAGACTTAACACAAAAAAAAAAAACAGTACGATAATAAATAATTTATTGGACCTTCTGGTGTGTAGTATCGCTGAGTATTTTTATTAATTGTTTTGGTTGTATTTTAACGAGCCCGTAAGGCCCGTCAAAATACGGCAGAACTTAAAAAATACTCAGCGATACCACATACTGTCTAATATTTACAAAGTTATACAATGAATTTGACATTGTTAAGCGACGCAAATACAATATACATTTATCAAACATTTGGAATAGGAGAGCCTGATAAAATGCATGCAGCAACTGACGTCCCTCTTGTGAAATTAATAAGAAGGGCAGAAGCAATGTGCACCTGTATCTAGCTAAAGACAAGCGCGGAGAAAAATTCATCTCGGCTGAATCTTTGACAAATTTCCAATTTTGTTGTTATCTTCCAAACTAACCAATTTTAATAAGCACTTTCTATTGTGTTTTCACCATCATTCAAAAAATTGATTAAATCGAAAGGTAAATATTCGCAATAGAAGAGACTGACCCATTTCAAGAAGCCAGGAATGTCTCCGAGCGAAAATAATAATAATAATAATAAAAAAAATTCTGGTAGATTGAAAAATTCGACATTTCAAAACCTTCTTCGATTACAGATTGCCCATTAATGAAAATTTGCATTTTTCATCTACCTAAAGATGAGCGCGTTGAGTATGCTCTTCACTTGAATGAGCCGTCCAAGGGCCACGAATTTGATTCTATTTCGCTGTTTCTACCAAACACACGCATTTTATCAAGCAATTTCGATCGTGATTTCTTTTTGTTATCAAGAAAAACTGACAAACCTGAAAGGTAGGTAGAAACCTTTTATCGGATGTTTAGCTTGCAATAAAAACTAAATTCCTTATACAAATTGGCAAAAAAGAGAAGATTTCCGTATAACCTCACCCATTAATATACATTCAATTGTTCGATGAAACCAAAATTGCGAAAAAACATAGATCACCTTTGTGACTAATGCTTTCACTCAGAATAGTTTGTAGGCTGGGTTCATCAGTACTGAAATCTTGCCAAGAAAACGACAGTCAGTCAACTTTGCTTTGGATTTTAGGGAATGGTTTTGGTATGAAAAATCAGTAATTTCGCACCTGCCAGGAAAATGGTAGTACAATTTATATTGATGTCAAAATTCGCATACAACCTTTATGTTTAGGATCCTTTAGAATCAGGTCTTTACTCGCCAATACATGGTTCCTCAAAGAAAAAACTGGCAATTCTGGCCAAAAATATACCTCATCGCAAAATTTTACCACAAGTGAAAAAAAAAACCTGGTCGTTTGGGTCACAGATAATCTCTTGAGCCGTAGGAAACACTCACCTTACGCCAAGGTAAGCATGTAATAGGCTTTCGGTGTGTCATTAACGTCGTTCGGGGCGTGAAAGGCGAAACTTTGATCGAACTAAACAAGGGCAAGTAATTAGTTCTCTCTATAAAGCCGAAAACCCTTGCATCTTCCACAGAAAACCATTATGTTATGAACAGCCAACGGCTCGTCACCTGTACGCGTGTTTGTTTTTTTTACGATAAGAAATTCGATCTTAGAATTAATATACGACTAACTAGAACACGAATTACTAGTTTTAGAGCTCATCAACATATTTTGCAAGAGATTAAAAACTCTTGTCTCTTGTCAACTGTCAAAGATGAAATAAAATAACTCGAACATACAGAAAATTCGGCGCTTATTGAGTTTCCATTCACTCTCTATTACATTACTTTTTTTTCCAAAAATATTCAGTCGTAATGTTTCTTAAGGTGACATTACAAGAACGGTGCAATCCATAGCTTGATTGAACGTAAAATAGTCCGAAATTGTTAGCTGCAGCGGGAGTTGAAGTTCTTTAATCATCACTAACCATTTACAAGGAAACACTAATGTAATTATGTACTCTCATTTTCATATTTAAAAACCAAACCGAAACTTCAGATTTCTGAATGCGTCTGGAACAAGTTTGAAAAATTTAGAAAAAAGTTAAAATAAGTTAAGTATTAAAATCTGATCTTCGGCTGCGAAGCGTTTTTCTGCATCTGTGTTGAAAAGCTCAAATGGGATTTTGTTTCAGCAGCGATTTTTTGTTATTATAGTTTTACGGGTGGGAGTGGAGGAAAGATTCCTCACAGATGATGCTTTTTATTCTCGACGCTTTAAGGAGGATTATATTCATTTTATTTGAAAAGCGTGGCCATGAGCGACAAAGAATAAACAAAAATTTTTCGCTCGAAATTTAAATTTTTGTTTCGTGGGAATGGGCATCAAAGGAAAAAAATTAGTGGTGCTTAATTTAAACCATAGAGAAGAAGCAGGAAATTCAAATTGATTACCCTTTCATCCACATCACAACGAGAATAATGATTCGCTTCCTATTTTAAGTATCAGAGATAGAGCTTCCGGTAATTATTGCGCAAAAGCATCATCCTCTTCTCCCACTAATCCGGAGTGGACTTCCCACGCTCACGAGTTACCCAATCTAAATATCATCTGTTAAAACGCTGGTTACCTGGTATTCAGTCGCTTATAAAACTCAGATGTTTCGCACCCGGTCAATGTGTGTACGAATGACTTAACTGACTGAGTACGAATAGTCATGACTGGATACGAATCGTTTGAGTACGAAACGTCCGTGTGTGCGAAACAATTGGTAAGCACGTCTTGTATGAACTCATTTGGGCATTTCTTTTGTGGTTAATTGTTAATTAATGTTCTATTTAGCACCCTTTGTCCTTTTTTATCAAAAAGTGCCCCCTGCAAACACGTTTGATAAAGCCTGCGGAAATGGGACAAAAATTTTTTTCTTTTTTGACTAATTTCTCTAAGAAAGAATTGAAAATGGTCGCGTTGCAGGCACCTTTTAAACCAACATAACAGCTCTCTCGCTCGTTATGTAAAGGCCACGTCACGCAAAAGCTTAGAAATTCAAGAGTAGTCTATCACTAAACCAAGAACCCATTTGGAGTGAAAATTTGTCTGAATATTAGTATTTAGCTGCTCTAATACATCATGAAAGTAAAATCTCAGGAGGATCAATAGTTCTGAAGTCTGAAATTTAGTGACGTCACGTGAAAACCAGCAATACCTTTTTTTAAACGCACTGTGATGTAAAGAAGTGATATAAATTTTGAGAGTTAAGGACGTGACATCAAACTATCAGAGACAGTCAGCAAGGAGAGGAGTGTTCCTCTTAAGGAACATTAAGCTTTTACACCTTAGGAGTGCAAAGGTTAACAGGAAAACCTGGATTAAGATGAGTCCAGCCCAGTATTTCCTTATCTCTGTAAGTGCTAAGTGGTCAACTATCAAGCGGGTTAATGAAGACAAGTTTTTAAATACATGCATATCAGATAACAATTTTGAACAAAACCTCACTACAAACAGAAAAAAAAGGCCTCTCATTTATGTTCACAAATCTTTAGTTTTTTTGTTGTTGTTGTTGTTTTTTTTGGCAGGGGGGGAGGCTGTAAATCGAAATTCAGCTTGCAGTCATGACAATAGGTTTATTTTCCTAATTAGGAAAACTGATAAAGACAAAATGGTGATAAAATTGAGATCCTGACAACCATATACCATGTAAATAAGTTTTAAAAAGTTTGATGAAGCACAATACTTAAAGTTTATTAGATCTGCTTTACGTTAAGGTAAGCCTCCACTAGTGGAAAAAGTTGCCGTTATAACAAAAAAGAATAGAGGAACTAAAATGTATGAAAACTGGAAACAAATGCAACCAGTGTCCATCGATTCTCGATAGACACTCCCAAAAATCGAATTTGTTTTTTCTATTTTAAATTTTGCAGCAACACTCCCTGAATGGATGGATGAATGTATTTAAGGAAAATACGGAATGAACTTTAAAAGTCTGAAAATGCGACATTAGTGAGGTTTTTTTACCTAATTCAACATGCACATTTTTAATAAAAATAACAAGACGTTTCCCAAGAAATAGACTATCCTTCTACTTTAGGAGGATGTGATAATGGTCTCAAAATATTCTTTTCAACCCCTTTAAATGTTCCTACTTTAACATTTTGATTTGTGGAAATTTCCAATTCCTTGGAAAACGAAGAACAGTGTTAAGCTCACGACGCTTAAGCTTTTTTCATTAAATGAATTAAATTAAATGAATTAAATAATTGACAAAAAAGTTTTTTCCCGATAATCTCCTGGTAAAGTAAAACAAGACAATTGTTTTACCTTAAGGCAGTAAATAAGTTTCGCTATGAAGCACACGACTGCCAACGCTTTACAACGGCATTAGAGAATATACTTTTTAATGACGTTTTTTATTAACGCAAAACTTTCTCCGTTCCTAGCTGCTAAAAACGGCAGAAAAGAAACGGAATATGTCAAAAATTCCTGGAAAAACTGATGATGTGGTCATATTTGCCGTTTCCCATTTGCTAAACGTCATGCCTAAGAGTTTATGTTCTCTTGAAGCAACTTTAGAGCGTCAAAGAATCCAACATAACGGCGATATACACAAAACTCCTCTTCCATAAAAAGCTGATGCCTTTTAAGTTGCTTACTTTGTAACGACAAACACTTTTTCCTACTTATGTGGACAAATTTTAACTAAGAAGATAATTTCTTGATGATTTACCCTCCTCCAGAGAAGGTTTCCTCTAGCTGAAAACAAAGCGCAAAAGTACTGTGCTCTTTTTTTTTTTTGCAAAGCAAGAATTTGATAGTGTAGTTTCCAATTTCTTTCAAAACTTGTTCATAATGAATTCAGGGCTTTATTTTCCTTTGAGTTATTGACTTTGTTTCACCCTCGGTCCTCTGCTTTCTAATTCACATTTCTAAGCAATATTTTCAATAAATTCAGATGGTTCAGCCCCGCAGGTATTCGATCTTGTTGTAAGGGTTCGATTTGCTGATCCTTGCGAAGAAACTGCGTCGTTTGCAGTTGGTGATACAGGGTGAACCTTTTCTTTGGAAATTCTATATCTACATTGCCTAGAACTTTGACTATGGATCACAGCGGTTGTCGTATGGACGGACAAGGGCTCCGGAATCTGGACATTACATTGAGCAAATGAATCACTGCAGTATCCAGAGATGGACCTTTCCATATTTATGCTAGAGGCCCCTTCATGTTCAACGGCAGGCTCAAAGGGAGCGGATTTTGTAGATTGCACGATGAAAATTTCCTCTCCTTGCAGTTTCATCTCTACTGATTGAAAGGACTCTTTTCGTCTTAAACATCGATTGGCATGAAAGGTTGGTTGGATTTTTTGTGTTTTTTTGAGACCTAACAGCTCTTGGACAGCGTTTTTAAAACGGTGGTCGCTATAGCAGTATAATATTGGATTTAAAAGGGAGTTCAGCTGTAAAACTAGCTCTGCCAATTGAAAAGTGGAATTCATACGAAATATTGGTGAAAAACTACCTAGAATAACAATAACAACTGAAAAAACAAACGAAAAAAGAAGTGCAGCGGTTACCAAACCAGTTGTAGTGGCAATTTTAGATTGGAGTTTCACATTCAACAAAACAGATACCTGGCTAGTTTTGTTCTTCTTTTGCCTCCGCACTCCAAGTAAGACCTTGAAGTAAAAATATGCAATGGCGATTGAACAACCAAGGACCACGACAGCCTCAACTAAAATGCAGATACCAAGGAAATTTTCTGAGATACTAATTGCCATCACTATAACAGTTAGACCTTGTTTGAAAAAAGGTAATACCCAAGCAGTTAGCGCAAATTTTTTGAGGAGACTTTCTGTTACCTTGCTCTTGTACTCCATCCCACATTTTATGGCCATGTATCTCTCCCAAGCAATGGCAGTTAAGTGAAATAAGGATGATAAAGACATGAGAAATATTATAGGTTTCGTCACCAGGGAATCTAATGTACAAATATGCTCCAAAGAAACTTGGCTGAGCATTAAAACAACGGTTGTGGCAGATAGTGGCATGGTTATAGCACCTGTTAGGAGATCAGTGAAGGCCATGCTGCATAGCAAAATGTTCGACTGTTTTTTTAGTTCTCTCCGTTTCTTAAAAGCCACGATTACAGTAGCGTTCAGGAAAGTGATGATAGGAGAAGCAATAGATGTAATGAACACTAAAATCCAGGGGAAAGTCGTATGAGTCAAATCCCAGATGATGTTTGGAGGTTTTTGGCACAAGAAAACTGACCTGCTTGCAGAAGTAGAGTCATAACTGGTTGCTAATGAATTCTCTGGATCCATGCTGATCTCGTATCGCCGACAAGCGTATTCCAAGGCAGTTTTCAAAGTAACCTTCAGCTCTAATGTAGTTGTCAGTCTTAGACACAGTCTCTATGCCTTCTAAAAGCTTCCTGTCTTTCTTTTCTTTGCGATGGCGTGATTTATCTGTAATATAAATTAAAGGACATAACTGAAAGCATAATTACTATTAATATAGAGATATATTTTCCTTGTTCTTTCTTGAAGGTATGTTAACAATCTCAGGCTATTAACTTCAGCATTTTTTCAGATGTTTTGTTAACGGAACTACGGACATTTCTGTGCCAATTTGGGAAATACACCAATTTTCTTATTCTTCTATGTTTTAACCGTTAGATTTGATGCACGTTTCAGGCCTTATTACTCGGTTCAAAATTAACCAAACAACTCACGGTGTATAAAGGTCAAAACTGCAAACAAGAAAAAGTACTCACCTGATTAACTTTCAGTCATGCAGATTTTAATGAGTTCTTGACGTCCTTCTTAGCAAGTCAGCGCTTGGTGGCAAATGCTGTGCGTCTCTGAGTCAGAAGGGTTTTTTCTCATTGATTTTTAATAACAATGTTCAAACGGAAGATCTTTTAATTCGAAAAGTTTGAATGGTCCATAGAATAAAATTATGACTGACAAAACTTTCACGGAAACCATTTCGGAAATAAATGCTTTGTGTTACTGGGCGTAAAAATAACATTTGAGTCTCTTATTCTACTTCACACAAAACAAATTGATTAGGTACTTGTTAAGGGACCTTCTGACCAGGTTAGCACAACAAAATTAAAAAAAAAACTTAATTAAAATATCAGAGATAAGGCTATAAACGTAAATATCTGTGCTAATAGGATCTTTCTTTTGGTATAATTGTGAACTTAGTCTTCCCAGATTCATTTACCACGCAATTATGTATTTAGTTCGTTGAATCCTCGATTAGGCAGGTTTCGTTTTATTTGTAGCAGTCAATGTAAGAACCGATAGCTAAGTGGTATCTCGTTCTAACAAGATAAAATTTTCCCAATCGTATTATTGAACGCGGTTTAATTTAGTAAGCTGATGGTTTTAATATATATTTTTTGACAGTTCAGACCTTTCTGTCAGATAACCGAAAGGAAATGAACTCAGTGAACCTCAATTAACAATTCAGATGTATAGTAGCCGAGAAAATTAGCACAATACCATATTTTTATCTCCTCCCATGTTAAACTTAATCAGTCCAGAGCGGTGATAAAGAAACTTATGGTTCAATTATCAAATTGCTTCCTTTAGCACTTAACCTCAGCGAAATAAACCAGTCGCTTCAACGATACATGCCCAATCGATATTATGATCAGCATTCTCCTCTCGTACCATGTTTTCGCATTTGCTAATCTTATCGTCACAAACCTTCGAGCAAAGAGAGCACAACAGATGTTTTAATTGTCCAATTAGTATCCTTTAGTACCAATTTTCGAAAAGCAAACACTCAACGCATGCACATGCACTTAGTTACCTTGATAAAATCAATGTTTAAAATGTACCTTTCTTTGTATCGTCGTAAAAGTATGGATTTGTGAATCACCTCATTGTAGGCGGTTTGTGTCAGCTAATGGTTGAATTAATCAATTTAGAATTTTGGCCTTCCGTTCAGAGTTAAATAATACGCTCTCAAATTTTCTTATCTTATCATCATCATCATATCAGAAGTTTAAGCCGAACTTTGTTTTTCGGAAAGCGCCCACTCGACGCACGCACCTGGCTATGACTTTTTACAAAAATTATCAACCAAGTTATTCGGGGATTGTCGAACCTTTTATTTTCAATCATTAGCTAAGTCGACAACATTAGTCAGTAAAGGGTTATTTTGCTCATATGATAAACAAAATATGACACGGTTGCTCGTAGATATGAAATTTCTCTTTTCTTGGTCAACTCGACATCTCACTTCGAGTTTAACACTCGAAGAAAAATTCAATACCTAAGCGCGCCCATGTATTATTCTCTATATAACGAGTTCACATAACCCTAGAGGAAGGCTTTCCCACATTAGCCCCAATAACTCATAAAAGAGATCAAGATAGCAGTATTTCTAAACAATATTACTCTGTCAGCTAAGTTTCAACGGTAAAATCAAATTCTAAGCACCAGCCAACGAAGAAATGCATAGTCACTAGTTGGGACGGTAAAAGTTGCTCCTACAATAAGCGGACACCAGATTTAGTAGGCCCGAGACCTTTCCTTTCTTTTTTCCTCTCATAAAAAACATCGATACGATTTGCTATACAGAGACATATATTGGAGGGGTGAAGTATATTAATGCCAGAAACCAGAGGTTTTTTTCCAAATACAACTCACCTCAGCCTAAAATGAGTATTGTTTTATCTGCTGTAAAAATGCCACTACAAATCCATTAAGAAAAATTTTGAACTTTCTTTGAAACGAGTACTTTACAATAGATTCGGAAAAAAATCGATCGAAGAGTTTTATTCTTCGGTTTTACAGTCTTTCGTGCCTATTTTCACGAAGTTAATGAGGAATTTACTCGATGTAAGAATTGAAGACACATCGAGAAGTTACCTCGACCAAATTGCCTGTGTCTGTTAAGATATTAGGTTTTTGCAATATTCCAATTTTTGTGTGGTGTGGAAACAGCTGGGAATCTTATGTTTCTTTGCCTACGTAATTTCAAGTTGATGCGCTTACCATATTTTATTTTAACTGCCATCGCTGCTTTGTTTCTGTGAATACACCCGACGAATTTTTTCGCTTTCTGCTAATCAATTTGTAGTAGAGAAGTCGCTTATGAAGTGATTCGTGATCAAAGTCACAAAAAGGTTTAAAGCATATGGCTCCAAACCTGGCAAGAAATTTTTCATCATGAATTTGGGCAACCTAAGTAATCGATTACATAGCAGTGAATCGGTCACGAGAAAAAAATCCTTAGATACGCACTTTCATACGTGGAAGAAAGTAGGTATACTCAGAATGGAATTGTTCTTCCCAGGATTATCACTGACGTTGTTTGTTGCTCAATGTTGCTGTCGGTGTACGTAATGGGTGGGCGCTTACTGAAGCTAAATTGTAAGAAAGGCGGTAAATCGGAAGGTTCAGTTGACCTTCAGTTCTCACCATTCTATTCTTTAGTGAACAGATGGCTTCTTGAGAAAGCTTTTAGTCAATAATAGAAAGATTGGCAAATTCTGAATATAAGGGAAGGCTAACGACAATAAGAGTAAAATATGATAGGTATTAAATTTACAGCTGGTGTCCCTATCTAGCTGTTTAGCGCTAATTGGAGTTTGTTTCATTTTCTTATGGTAATTTGATCGTAACGTCGTTGGACAATCAAGTACTCAATCCGTTTTGTTACCTTTTTTCCAAGGACGAAATACTGGTGTCAATAATTTCATTTATTTCTCACACCCACAGAACAACAACTCCCTTAAAGGCTTTCTGCTTGTGTTTTGTTTTTCATATTTTAGAGAACTCAATTCAGCACCACCGTAACCTTGGCCTTTTCAGCAAGGACATGAAGAACACGTTAACAGCTTATTTACAGTTAACCTCGGCCATCAGGTTTGTTATCTCTTACATAAATGTTTTCCCAGACTTCATGTAGGATTTTATAAGCAGTATAGCCGAGTAGAAATATGATTGCGTGGTTGATAAACTTTTTCCTGACAGCTAACAGGGGAGAGCAGATTATATTTCAGACAAAAATGTGACCAATGGCTGTAGAACGTACAGTATTAAACCAAAACAACAAAACAAAAAAACCGACTTCTTTTCAATTTCTTCATCGCAAGTTTCAGTTAATACTTTGAACTTTCCTTGTGATATTCTTTAGAAATCGCCCTCTTAAACGACTGTCTAGAGAGAATATCTTACTACTATGTACATTTTGTACAAGCTCAATCGCGATAGAGTCAAATTATGTCGTTTAAATAAAATTTCCTGGTTTATCTAAGAAATGGCCAACATGATTGTTTCGCGCTAAAATCATCAAATAGGGTAAAATGAAACATAAAGAAATGGGTTGCAAATAAACTGGAAAGTAAAGTACTTTCGATCATTATTTGCTAACAAGAAAATTCCAATTTTAAAATCCCCTGTGCCGAAAATAATACGGAGAGTTGCTTCATACGAAATGAATAAATTGGAAGCTTAACCCAACAAATGTGAGTGCATACAGGTTTAATTTAAAGTTCTAAAAAAGTCACATTATAAAGTAAAATCGAGAGAAATTACACAGTTGCACCTTAATTTCTCACACCCTTTTCAAACAATGCTAATGGCGTTGAAGTCAAATGTAAAACCATTACTGGCTTAGATCCGCTTTAATCCATGCCTTAGGCATTCCAAACATTTCATCTCTTGGAAAAAAAAAAGAAAAAAGGGGGAAGATGAGCTAATGTTTCATTAACTTGAGAATAGAAGTTGATGCTTGTCGACAATATAGCTATATTCACGCATTCTGTTATGTACCTTTATAGATAACTATTGAACTACGAAAAGAAAAAAAGTGTCGAATTTGGAGTCAAAGGAAGGCAAAGTCATCGTAGGGAAACAGAAGTGGCAAGGAAAAAACTGCTTCGGTGGAGAAATTTTTCAAAAACATAGACAAACAAAACAAAAACAAAAACGCTCAGGAGCTAAACACTCCTTTAGACAAAATTAGGCCTCGGCATGGCGGCAAATAACACAACAGTCAGCTATGATTTTACCTATGCCGGTAATTCGTTGTACTTCTGCCAAAAACCTCCATACCTCACCTGGGATTTGACCGATACAACGCTACCATGGATTTTAGATGTCATAATATTCACTGCTGCCCCCGTCACCACTCTTCTAAACATTTTGGTTATCGTCGCTCTGAGGAAAAACAGAGAACTGCAAAAATTCTCCAACATTTTGCTATGCAGTATGGCCGTCACTGATCTCATAACAGGAGCTGTAACAATGCCAATGTCAGCCATCGTCGATGTTCTAATGCTTACTCGGGTTTCAGTAAA